AATAGTTTAGTGAAATTAATGAAATGAATGTCACAGAGTCGTTTTTTATTCTGTTTCATTCTTTATTCTGTTTCTGTTTCATATACTAGTTGTCTGATAACAAACTATCAGTGCTTCTTATTGACTCTGAAATTGGAATAATTTCCAGGTGAAACTTCTACTATTTTGTTCAAAAATATTTGTGCAAGATTTTTTTTATGATAATCAGACAATAGACCTATCACTGATAATTTTGAGCAATGTGAATTTGTTTCGTTTCTTCGTTATCATGATTAAACTAAATTACAGATTCATGTTGTTTTCAAAAGCTCACAAATTGAAATGATTATTTAAACTTTTTTATTTTCAGAATGGAAATTTTATCAATTCTAGCTACTTTTACTTTTAATCGCTTTAGATAAAATGAATTTTGAGCTATGCTTTGAATATACTAAATCGTTAAGTCTTAAAATTTTAGACTATACAATTAGCATTTGAAAAAAATTTTGGAAATATTCAGACTAACCATTCAAAAGAAAAGTTTTTATCTATTAAAAAAAGAAAAAGAAAGTGTTGCTAAAGAGCTTCAGAAAAGGAAACTGCGAGATAATTTTTGAAGTTGAATTTGAAAGTTCACTTGAAAATTGCTTCCTACTATAAAGGTTTCTGAAATTTTGTTGATATGTTGCTTTCAACTTTTAGGATGATAAGAGACATCTCATAAGTTTAAACTTAAAATAGAGAACAAATTTGGTTAATGTTTTGATTCAATGATACATTCATAATCTCTTTATATCGTTGATAAGATTTTATCAACGATATAAAAGTGTTGATAAGCGAATTATCAAAGTATTTCTAGATCATTTTTAGATTTCATTGATTTATTCTTATTCTGTGATCAACGATTATAATTCTATCATTTGCAGGAATCTTCTAAATAAGATAGTAATGCAAGAGTAGCTTTAAAAGAAGAAAAAAAAATTGTATATATTGAAGTGTTGTTTTAAAAAACATTAGATGACAATACGATTGAAATGATCTATTAGTAAAATTTTAAATGTAATTAAATTTAATAATGAAATTAATAGCTGAAAAATGTTTGTATTATAATTGACATTATATTCGTTAGGATTACTTTCTTTATGAAAAATAAAGAAATTTCACTGATATAGTAGTAATGTCAGTTAATATAATATTAACTCATAATAATTCGTTTATCAGTATAATCAAGTATGATTCTGATAAATTAACCTAGGAAATTAATCTTACCATAACTTTGAGTGGATTTTTTTTTTATTATTTTGAAATTAAATTTTATTTTTGTTCAATGATATCAGGAACATATTATTATTTGTGGTTAACTAATTCGAATTAAGAGTAGAAATTAGCTTCGATTAGCTTTTTTTGTTAGACTTTTCGTCATGTAGATGAAAGCAATCGTTCGATTATTTTAGATTCTCAAATTAACAAAATGTACTAAAACGCTTGCATGCTTTTTTGTTGTTTTTCTAGCTTAGCTTATCGTTATTTGGCTTTATAAATGTGACAGTGTATCTTTCATGTTTATCGGTTTGATTAGCTTTTTTCTCGAATTAAGCATAAGCATAGTATATGTGTAGAATTAGCTGTCTTTTAACATTCAATCTGCTAGATTCTAGCTGGCTAATGTTAGTAAAATCTTTAGATACTAGTAAGTTTAGTTCTTTACTTAAGATGGATGACTTTTTAAGATTAAAAATTCTCTCTCTCTCTCTCTCTCTCCATCCACATTTAAATTTAGAGTTGTCCATCTTCTAGAATAGCTGTTTGATCTAATAAACAAAATTATCCATGAGATATACTTTGTCTAACTGAGTGGCACTTACCTAAATCTGCTTGTAAACTCGTAATCTCATAAAAGAACATAAACTTCTTCCCTTTCAGTAGATGAATTTTCCAAGAAAATTAATTTTTTTTAAAAAAAAAAAAGAAAATGAAAAATAAGAAATAATTATGTCAAATTTTAACAAAAAAAATGATGGAATTAAAAAAAAAAGGAGAGAAAAACGAATGGATCTTAAGTTTGTAACATTATTTTATTATTATTTTGCATAATTTAAAATTCTTTTATTAATAATATTCATTTTTTTAATTATAAATTATACATTGATTCATTTTTTTGATCACTGTACAGTCATTTCTGATTGTTTTCTCGGTTTATTAGTTAATCGGTTGATCAGAACAATTATAGGTTCCATTTTTAAATCATTTTTATTTTGTTACAAATATTGTGAAATAAAAAAAAAAGATAATTGTTTATTGCTGATACAATATAATAACTCAAAATGATTGCTTATCCTGGATACATGATAAGAAAGTTGTAATTCAAACAATATTTATAAATTCATCAAACAAAAAAAGAATTTATGATTGATAGCTCAAAAAATGAACGATAAAATGCAACAAAATTTTATCAAATAAACAATAAACAAAAAATAAATAAATGAATCAAAATAAGCTAAACAAATAATCATATCTAATCAGTGATAACATCAATATCAATTAATTTTTTTGTCATTAGCTGCTGATAAAAATTTAATCTTACAAAATATTTCTATAAATATTTTTTTTCTTCTACAAATAACATTCACAAAAAATTGAAATAAGAAAGAAAAGCTTCCACCATCTTCCATCAGCTTAATGTATCATTTTCTATTAATTTGCATTTCTTTTTTGCCAATATTTTTTCATTTTTTTTTAACTTTTGTTTTACATTTTTCAATAAAGAAAAGTATGAAAATTTGCTTTTTGTTACAAAAATATTTGAGAGAAAAACAACAAAACAAAAAAAAAAGCTAAAAAAAATAGAAAAATTAGAAAATGTTTTTTCAATTTGTTAACACTTTTCAAATATTTCAAAAATTGATTCGTTCTTAGTTTCTAATCAAAAATTTCCATACAATAAAAAGTTTTTATCTGTTTTTTTTTTTTCTTTTTTGTCTTAAAAACAAAAAAATAAATTGTAATTCAATAAAGAAATTACAAAAAAAAAAAATTTATAATTCAAACTATATTTTAAATTTATTAAAATAAATGATTGATGAAAATTTTTTAAACCTTTTTTTATTATTAGTTAGAAGAAAAAAAAAGACAAACAATTTTACTGAATGTTTTTTAATTTTATGCAAATTGTAATATTATTTTATTTTTATTATTTTATGTTAGTTTTTTTATTTGATAATATTATTTGTTTGTTTGTTTTTTTTTATGCTATTGACTGGAAAAATGAATTATTTATTTGGTCTGATGGTTTTGAATTTATTGCTTTTAAATTCTCAAACATCTGCTGATTATATGATTGATTGTAAGTTTAATTGATTATTCTCTCTCATTTTTTTAAATTTCTTAATCTTAATTATATTAATTGAATACTATGTGAAATATTATATTTTAATATTTAAAAACTGAATTAATTACTCATAGCTATTAATCTTTTTTATAATTAATGTTATTTGTTTACTATCGTAAATATATCTTTTAATTAAAATATACATCGAAGGAAGAGCAAAGGGAGATGGAAAAGGAAAAAAAACATCAAAAAATATTCGAAATGAAATTCTAAATTTTAATTTGCAAAATTTCATTATCATTTATAAAAGAAAAAAGAAAGACAAAAAAAAGTGGTTTAAAAGTAAGCAAAAGAATTTAATGAATAATAAATTGATACCATTAAAAATTACAAATTTCATTTCAAAATTTTGAAAAGAAAAAAAAATAAATATTTTTAATTGAATTTAAAAATTTATATAAAAATAAGAATTGACAAATAAATATAATTGCATAAATTTGTCACATAAAATAAATTTTCTAAATGTCAAAATTTTGCATCATTTTATGAAAGTAAAGTATTTCGCGAGTTATATAATACATAAAATATAATTTAGTAATAAAATTTATATAAAAATGAATTTTACAAAGTAAAATTATTTTTGAAACAATTTGTTGAATTATTTTGAAATTAAATTATGAATGTAAACTTAGTAGGAAGTGAACGAATTTAATTAAATCATTATTTAATTAATATTTTGTTTTTTTCTTTTTAGAGCAAAAATTGTTACAAATAATTAAATTATTACTCAAATGATATCTTATTTTTAATTTAAATTCATTGATTGTAAATGAAATTTTTTAGCAAAATTTTTTTTATCGCTTAAAGTTATTTTTTAAAGCGATTGCATAGAATAATTAAATTTTCTTTATTGCGATTTTAAATTTATCATTTTTAAATTTGCCAGAAAAAACATGGTAATAATAATGAATCATTCTTTAATTAATTATTTTACTATTTTTTTTTTTCATAGTTTTAAATTATTTTTATCATTGCAATAAGTTTGATATATTATATAAAGTATGTAAAACAGCCAATATGCACCACAAAAAAATTAAATAGTTAAATATTTGAAAATTTCATGAAAAGAAAAACAAATTGATTAGAAATATTTAAAAGATAGAAACTAATATATCTAAAAATTAATTTATCATTTATTTCTTTTAACAGATTATATATACATAGTTTTACATTTAATGAATTATTATTATTCGAATTTTCAATTAATTATTTCTATTAATTAACGAATTTCAATTATTATTAAGCAATTAATTATTACTCAAACTAATTTTCAAAATTAAATTCCACAAAAAAATTGAGCATTTTATTTAAAAGATAAAAATTACTAATTTAATATAACTAAATATGTTATATATTATATATGTACAATTATTATAATGTTTTGTCAATACAATTCTAATTCTGATTTTCAATTAATCAGTTAATTTCAATTATTATTAAGCAATTAATTATTATTCGAATTAACTTTTAAAATTAAATTTCACAAGAAAATTTGATATTATATTTGAAAAAAGGCAAAAAAAAAGTAATATATTAATTGTATTACTAATTTAATAAAATTAAATATATTATTAGATGTATAATTAATATAAATTAAGTATATGATAACTTAAATATATGAAAACTTAAATATATGATAACAAGTCTTATCAGTGATACTGATATTTCAGCATGTAATATTGCATGCTTAGAACGTAATAAATACGTTGTGGTACGAGCACACCTCAGAAGTAACTCGATATCAGTTGGACTTTGTAGAAATGAGACAGTCCGTTCTTATCAGTCGTACGTGACACCGTACATTTGCAATCGTACATTTGGTGAATGGGAACCTGATATAGATGTAGGTGTTATCAGTCAAAGTGATTTATTTTAATTAAATTATTTTTTGCATTTTATTTTAACATTTTGTAATTTGAAATTATTTTTTTTATTAAGTAATTAAGAAATGATAATCATTTTTTTTTTTCCTTTTTTGTTAGCAAATTATGAATGACAAATTAATTAATGAATTATTAATTAATTACTAATAATATCTATCATAAATAATCAATATTAATCAGTTGTAAGATGAAAAATTTTGATAAAACAATTTTTTTTTCTTTTAATTAATAATATTAATTAAATCGTAAATTATTATTTATGAATAATAATTTTCTTCCTTCTTTATTTGTCTTTTTTTCTTTGTAATTAAAATTTTTAGTTTTTTTTTTTTCCGTAACTAATGTTGTTTCACTGAATTTTTATTTCAGTTTTTTAGAAAAAAAAATTTATTAATTTATTAATTAATTCTACTTGCGGGAAAAAAATATTTAATAATTAAAGTAAATAATTAAACTGCAAGGGTTACACCAAGATTATCAAATAATAATTGCAATAATAATAGTGATGTTAATAATATTATAATAAATTATGGTGATGTGATAATAATAATAATAATAAAATAATAACGATACTGGTAAGTGATAATAATAATAAGTAGTGGTGATATGATAATAATGATAGTAATAAATGATAGTAATGTGATAATAGTAATGATAATAATATTAACAAATAATAGTGGTCTGACAATAGTAATAGTAATGAATAATGGTGATGCGATAATAATAATAATAAATAATAACGATACTGGTGAGTGATAATAATAATAATGAATAATGGTGAGTGTTAATAATAATAAGTACTGGTGATATGATAATAATTATATTAATAAATGATGATAATAGTGAGTGATATTAATAATAATAGACGGTGATGATGGTAATAATAATGATAATCATGTAATCATTATCATATTTATCAATTGTTAGCTTATAATTACTTTTAGGATGAGGACGGAATTATGGATTTCAAGGCACCATGCCCAAAACCTCCACATTATCCGCACGAAGCATTTGAAAAATGTCGCAGATGAATGACATTTAAAATTTTTAAAATTTAATAAGCAATCGGTTTGTTGTATTATTGCAATTAAATATTACAAATGTAAACACACATAATCCAATACTATATGCATACATTATTAATAATTGTTGAAAGTAATTTTATTTTAAATTATTTCAAAATTATTTTCAAAATTCATACAAAAAAAGAAACATAATAAATCTTAGCTAAAAATTAGTTTTCAAATACAAATTTTTCATGCAAATGAATGCATTTAGTGGTACCATAAAAGTTGCATAAAATTTTTTCTTCTAATAACTTTAAATATAAATAAAAAGTTTAAATAAAAAATTTGAAAATTTTTCATCAGCAATAATAATATGTGTTTTTTGTTTTTTTTTTTATTATTTATCAATAATATGTCACAATGGTTGTTTATAAAAAAAATGAAACAGAATTTAAAATTTGTTTTAAATTAATTAATAATTAATTGTTCATAAAATATAGATAAATGTAGTAAATAAAAAATATTATTATTATTTTTGCATTAGCGTCAAAAAATTTTTGAAATAAAAATTATTTCTGTTAAAATTATTACACTACGAAAATTTCATTTCAATATTAACAATTCATATTCGATAGATTTTATCATTTTTTATATCACTTTCATATCACTGATTTATTTTCTTTCTTTCCTTTTTTTTTTACTATAAATTTATGAATTTAAAAATTTAATTAATTTTTTATAATTATATTTTAGCAAAAAAAATTTTGAAAAAAAAATAAAATAAAATTATTCGATCGATTTTTAATGTTAAAGTTATGTTTCAGAAATGGAAAATCCATGAAAAATGATGAAGAAAGTGAATATAAAAAAATGCTTTCTATTTGAAAGTTTTTAAAATTGTAAACAAATATCACATTTTTTTTTTATCATTGTGATAAATTGTGATATCATTTAAACTGCAAACATTTTTCTATCTAAAATAACAAAAAATTAAAGGAATTATTGTAATTTGAAAATGAAAATTAAGCATTGTCATGTAGAATCAAAAAAAATGAAAAAAGAATTTTAAGAAATAAGAAAAAATATTTAAAAAATAAATATTTGATAGAAAAAAATAAAAATTAATAAATAATTTGCAGTAGAAAAGAAAACAAATAAAAAACCAAATTTAATTTGTCCTATTTAATTATTTAATTAATTATTAAATAATGGCATTATATTAAAAAATCATTTTTTTTTAAATTCATATTGTGGCAACTTTTTAAGTGATAATAAAATGATTAATAATGATTCTCTTATCATCAATGATAATTGTATATTAAAAAAAATTTTTTTTTAAATTACACTTCAATGCAGATAACAATTCATTTTGGTCTTTTTTTTTGATTTTAAATTTTATTCGAACCAAATTTTTTTTTCCAAAAAATATTGTTTCATCTTATTTTCAATAATGTTTGATAACCTGATATTGTAAAAAACACATTTATAATCCATTTTTATTTTCTGCTATTAATAAAGTGCATTGTTTACTGTTTAACAATTATTTAATTATGTTTAATAAAAAGACTTAAATTAACAGAAATGAATTTACCTTAAATTATTTTCTGATTCCTTTTCTTTTCTTTTCTGTTATTATATATTATTGAATCAATTTATTATTATTGTTAACATTATTATTATTATTATTATTATTATTATTATTATTATTATTATTATTATTATTATTATTATTATTGTTATTATTATTATTATTATTATTATTATTATTATTATTATTATTATTATTATTATTATTATTATTATTATTATTATTATTGTTATTATCATTATTATTGTTATATTGTTGAATCAATTTATTATTATTATTAACATTATTATTATTATTATTATTATTATTGTTATTATTATTATTATTATTATTGTTATTATTATTATTGTTATATTGTTGAATCAATTTTTGTTAGAAAAGAAAAATAAAAATTGGCACAAAGAGGAAAAAAAAAGAAATTTGACAATTTTAAATATTCAAAATGAAGAGAGATAAAAAAAAAAAAAGAAGAAAGAATCAATAAACCATTTTGTTTAAATGTGAAGCATTTTGATTGATGTTATAGAAGTTAATAATGACAAGTTGTAGTGTAACACAAAGCAAACAACAACAACAACAACACTGATAATAACAATCATCATCATCATCATCATCATCATTCCACATTATCATCACCATCATCACCATCACCACCATCGTCATCATCGTCATCATTATTATCATCATCCTCAACAAATAACAACAACATTAACTTCTTCAACTGGATATGTAATGTGAGAATTGCATCATTCGAAATATTTTTCAACTTTCATAGCTCGTTTTCTTATATAACTACTAGAAAATTATGCTTTGATGTAAAATAAAATTAATAACAAAAAAATTTTTTTTTAAATTTTCATTTTATAGGAATAATTTTTCAATTTTAAAATTAAATCAAATCAAAATTTCTAGTTTATGCATAGATTTATTCATCTTTTATTGATTTATTGATTTGTTTATTTATCTGTTTATTTATTTACATGATGTTATTTTAGCTAAAATTAATACAAATATTTTATAGCTTAGAGTTTCTTTTTTTAAGTTTTCTATTTATTTAATCTATCATTAATTTATACGTCGTTTTTTTTTTTTTTTTTTTTTTTTTTTTTTTCTTAAAGTAATATTAAATTATTTTCAATGAAAATAATATATCAATGATTATTGCTAATTTTATGCTTACATTTTATTTATTTATTTACATTTTCATTTTATTCATTTATTTATTTTAATATATTTATATTTTATTGATTCAACAATTCAGCAATTGATTGAATCATATATCTTTTTTTATTTCAGTTTTTTCTTTCTTTTTATTTGATTTGGTTTATTATTATAATTAATAAAAATAATAAAAAATATTTTTAAAAATAAAAAAAAGTGACTTTGACCTATTTTACGTAGTAATTTTTTCATTTCATAAAGTAAAAAAATAATTTTCAACTGATAAAATTTTCAATTTTCTTTTTTTTTTTTTTGAAAAACGATTAACAAATACAAATGAACGCTTCGCTTCTTGCACTTCCATATTTCGCATTGGTTTTTATCTTTTATCATCAATCAAATGGTTTTATCCGAAGTTGTGATAACTTATATGAATATTGGTAAGTTAATCATTCTTATCAATTACAGTTTATCAGGAAAAATCAGAACTTATCAAAAGTCATTATTAATTTATCAAAATGGAATGTATGTAGGAACGGAATATTAGTAACAATTAAATTATGGAAACTTTATTAAAAATGCAAATTAAATCTTATCACTTTCTCATATCAAATTTATAATAAAGTGTCACTATGCGATAAAGATAAGATATCATTATATGATAAGGATAAGATATCACTATGTGATAAGTTTATGATAACTTTCTATTATAATACAAAAACTACATTGCTTTTTCCTTTTCTTAATTGTTTGAAGTCAAAAATTTATTCACAGATGTTGGAAAAAAAAAGAGAGAGAGAGAGAGAGATTTCATGAATTAAATTTATATTTTGTAAATTTATGATATTTGGAAAGGACAGAGAAATTAACATAAATTAATTACTAAAATATATTTAAATGATTTAAATGAAAATTTAAATAAAAAAATATAGAAAAAGAAATAAAATTGAGTACAAATTAATTTTTTTTTTTTAAATAAATTTCAGGAAAACATTACCAGTTTTAATTTTAAGTATACTTTACTATGCAGTTGGTTCAAGCTTTAGCAATCGTCAACATATCTATGCATCACTTGGCTTATTAGCTGGTGCTATTGGTGATTATATGATAACAAGGCCAAATGATGGCCTAATCCTTGGGGCTGCTTGTTTTGCTATTGGCCATATTTTTTATTTGGTAAATATCACTGTAATTAATTAGCACAAATTAATTATTAATCATTATATACAACAAATTGGATGAAATTTTCAGTTTTATTTTTACATTTTTTTGCAATTTTCTTTTTTTTTGTTTTTATTCTATAAGAAAAAAATTTTATAATTAATTGTAAATTTTGCTTTTAGCACTGTTAGCAATGAAATAAATAATTGAAATTATTGATGAAATGAAATATTAAAATGTAATTTTATCATTAATTTTATTATCAATGAATAGTATAATATTAAAATGAGAAAAAGAAAATTACTGATAAAAAAATAAAAATACATAAAAGAGCTATCATACGTACATTCAAATTTAATTTAAATTCAATTTAATTCAACATTCAAAAAAAAGAATCATTGAAAATAAATTTAATAAAAAATATTTTACTTTATTTTTTTTTTCGGTTCTAACCGCTATTATTAACGTAACACAACGAAATATTCCCTAATTATTAAGCATACATATTAATTTTTATACTTTAAATTTTAATAATTTTATAAAAATTTTCATTTTTTACTTTTAACTTTTTTTTCTAAATCAATTTTAATTTATTTATTTATTAACTTAAAAAAAAAGAAATTTTTCAAGTTTAAATTTACTTGTGAATTCATATTTATTTAATCATTTATTTAAAACTTTATTCATAAATTTTACATTTCAGCTTACATTTACCTATCGTATTGGTAATCTATGCATCCCATTACTATTTATGATAATACTGATAAGCTTTATCATACTTTATGTAACATTTGCATTACTTCTAATTGTACATCCAATTGCATCAACAATTATGATTATTTATTCATTTCTTTTATCGATATGTGTTCTCTTCAGTGGTTCATTGTATATTTGTGGCGGTCCATATGATCAGCAACGACAATTTGTTAGTGATTAATTTTAAATTTAAAAAAAAATTCTTTTTTTTTTGTCATATTTTAGTTTTTATAAAATATTTTAACATTACAATAATAAATAATAATTTCATTTCAATTTCTCATTTTTTTTCTGTTTTAATTTTATTGTAATTTCTCAAAAATTACTATTAAATAGTAAATTATCATTTGTTTTTTCT